TGGGATGGACTGTTAACTTTTCTCAAAAGTCATTGGCTGAGTCAGAGTATTAGTCCCACCCTACGTTTGACGTATCTTGACGTTACAGATACATTTATTCGACATTAAAAGTAAAAATAAAATAATTATGTATTGTTAGAAATGAGTCAGTCTGTCATTTTAATAGTTACTATTATTTTAAAATGTTCGAAGTGCATGTAAAAAAAAATATGTTATTGTTATTAACAAATAACAACAGTAGTTGGAACTGCCCGCAGCAAAACTGTCTGATATGAGACATAAGCATTAATAATGTACTACAGCCCGGGGTTGTACGTTCAGTCCTCTACATGAGAATAGACATTATCCTCATTGTCTGTTTGTTGAATAATTTGATATGCAGTTCAGGAAGCAGCTCTGGTATCTGCTTGTAGATTGAAATGTAATACCAAATATAATAAGATTAATGGCCGCATTGGGACATGTCATCTCTGCATCATTTAGTTTCTGTCTTTTTCTTTGTGCATGTGTGTCCAGATTTGACTACATTGTACAAACCAAATGTCCCCAAAAGGATAGTAAAATATGAAATCCCTTAAATTGTGACAGCCGATTGTCCCCTCAAGCGATTTAACAAGAAATAAACTAAATTATGCTTTAATGAAAATCTAAAAATGTAGAAAGATTTTTGTCGGAGTTGGGGGAAAAAAATAAAACAACAGCAACAGATATCAATAATGTAAATGTTGTAATTATGATTGTAAAACTTGCTGTTTTGTCTATAGAGATTCTTAGAATATTTCATATGATGTGAGTTATAAATGCATGAGCTCAAGATAAAGATGCTTCGCTTTAAATTCATAAAGAAGATGTGATCATCTCAGAAACATTCATATTTAACATCAGTGGGTTTGGAAGATCAAAGGTCATGGCCCCTGTCTCAGTCAACAGAGAATCAGTTTTCCAAGGTGAACACATACAGTAAATGTACTAAAGACAAAGACCTTTAGCTAAATCATAATAACATCTTTAACTAAACCAAAGTTGTAAGAAAGAATCATTCCACATTTTGTTAAAAGTGAGAAAATGGAGCTTTTCAATATGTGGCATTCGATTTATTGTTTCCCCCTTGTACACCAATGCACCCAGACTGCCTTTAAATCACGTAAAACATACAAATTCAAAAGATTCGTAAATAGCAGCACATATTGTCACCCAGTTAGCTTGTTGTAAAATATAATCTTTGGTATAAACCACAGCACAGCGAAACAAATCAGCCTCAATTTACTTGTTGATTCTATTGCTTGTTTTTATTGAAAATGTGTAGCCTAGCTACAATATGTGGTTGAATTGCTTCAGTACTGGACATATCTATCAAATAATAATATACTGACAGGGTTTGGCAACTCAAACAGAAATGGTTTAGGCACTGTTTAGCTCTAAAATACAAGACAGATAGATAATCTAGTAGTTAGAAAGCGTCAAGTCAGTTTTTCAAGTCTGCCATCTAGTGGAATCTGGTAAGTACTACAAGAGGAAAAACTGTCACTAGATGAAACACTCCTGGCTCCTAGTAATGCAGTGATGTTAGTGAACCAATTGCTTGACAATGATGACAATTTGTTTAATTATTCAGATTTTATTTTAAGATATCACTTTCCTGTATCTAGAAAATAAATGAATACAGTTTTAAAGGCCATCTCTCAGGAAATTTGTATGCTTACAATGTTAACAGTAGCTCATTGATTTCTGTTCCCCCCCCCCAGTCCTGAATCCAATGTGGTTGGTTCTATTTGTTTCTCTGTTCAAAAATTCAATCACAAAATCAGGTCTTTATTTTTGAACCTTGTTACCTCTAATTCTTCCTCCATTTCTTATTGGAACAACCTTTTTGATGATATTAAGTGGACATATGTTTGGTCACTCCCTCTGAAATTTTTCTTAACAAATAAAGTTTGTTTTCAAGCAGTTTTTGCAGAAATTTGAAAGTGACATTGATGCATTTTGTTCATTCTGTGAATTTTCTTCTGAAACTGTAGCTCATTTGTTTTGGGAGCGTCCCTTTCTGGAATAATGTTAATGCTCTGATTGTCCAAAATATTTTGTATGATTTCTCTTTGTGTTATAAACACATTATTTTGGGGTTTTATGCTAAAGATAAGAATCTGTTTAATGCAAGTTTTTGTATAAACCTCCTGTTATTTATTGGAAAGTTTTATGTCCATAAATGTAAATATACTAAATGTAAACCCCACTTTAACATCTTCAGACAAGAACTGAAGTTGTATTTAAATACAATTTCAACGTCTGTTAACAAGAAAGCTGTAAAAACATCTAGAATTTGTGCCATGTTTAAGATTTTTCCCTAATATACTTGTATTTCTATTTTCTTCTCTCTCTCTTTTTTTCTTCTGTCCTTTTCTTAAGAATTTTTATATTATATTGTTTTTTTCTGTGATGTTTTATCTATTTATCCTCAAGTAGTTTATTACTGATTGGTATTTTGTATGTTTTGTACGTACTGTTTTTTACTGTTTGTTTTGTATGTACTGTAATCCTTATTGTTTACTGCAATAAAAATAAATAAATAAAAATAAAAATAAAAACACTCGTGGCTCCTTTTCACAGACTGTGATTTGCACATACACACACACACTGTTTGCACAGGTAGTAACGCAAATCTAGTAGTAGTTTTTCATATTTTCATTAAAAAAATTACATATATAATGCTATACGTTGTGTTATAGTCTATTCACGGCAGTAAATTACAAAACAAAAACACTGCTGTGAGGGTGTTTAAATACAATGGGGTGGAGGCAAATTTGACATCATTCTCTCTTCTGACTGCATTTCTCAATATGAATTCTTAAGCGATCTTTTGTGTCTTTAGCCGTTTTATGACCACATCCGCTTCTGAGAACACCGGAAATGTGAAAAGGGTCCATTTAATTTCCTGTTTCATCATAATCATCTAGGGCACCGAATTTTATATTGCATACAGAAGTAAATAAAGTATATTAACAGATGAGAAATACAAAACAAGAAAAAGTCCAATCAAATTCATATAGCAGAAAACTTGCAAAAGAACACTTAATAGTAGGTATAGAAATGTGAACCGATGTCCTGCATATCTTTGGTTTTCACAAGATTATGTTAGAAACATAAACTGTTTTTGTGCTGTATCATAACTACGTCCACCATGTTGTGTTGAATACATTTGTTGTGCCTTTCAATCTGTCAAATCAAGCAACAAGTAGTTTTGTCTCATTTCTGTTTTCAAACAGCACAAGCTCCATTGCACCTATAGTGGTATTGCCTAAGGAAGTGTCTCAAACTGTAGGGTAAAGGCAAGGTGTCAATGCCCTGATACGTTGTACAGCTACAGATGACCGCTCTGCACATGTGCTGCAGAGAGAAAGGAAAGCTCCTAGCTAGTGGGCGAGAGAGAAGAGGTTCAAAAAATAGGCATGTGGCCGGGTCACTGTAGTGCTTCAACAGGCCCGTGACACTGGAATCTCTGTACATACAAGGGTCACGGCCATCAAAGCTAAAGCGCTTCCCGTTTTGCTCTATTCGGGCATGGAGGGAGCGGCTATAGCGTCTGAAGCTAACCGAGAAGAGGTATTCGTCCTGGGCAGAGTCTCGGAGCAGAAAGGTCCCCTCTGGTTGCCCTTCCAATAGTTGCTCAGCTTCGAAACGATCCAGGACACCCCAATAACAAGGGCTGTTGTTGATTTGAAGCAGATCAGGAACCAGGATGTAGTCAGTGTGGGCGCAGCACTGGGCGTCTCCATGTGCAAAAGAAGGATCCCAGTCATCCAGACTAGAAGCCCCAGTAGAGCGGATCTCCTCCCATGAAATGAGCGTTGGAGGAGAGGAGGATAACAAGGGACATTTGGGTTCGGTTTCGATGCTTAAAGAAGGTTTGGTATGAGTGCCATGTTTCTTGATCAGATGCCAACACTGAGCCAGTTCGGATTTCGGAGAGAATGGACACTTGTCCTCCATGAGCTCGGACACATGAATCTTCCGTTTGGACCAAAGAAGGACGGAGAACGGACGTGAGGAACTGGACTGGTGGTGATGGTGGTGGTGATTGCGAAGAGGGAGACACTGGCCGACGGCGTCCTGAAACTTCTGCCTCAGAGACCGGCGGGACAGGGCTTTCCTGCAAGGAGAGTCCAAATCCGGTTCTCCAGGGATTGTGCAGCTGCACTTTCGCTCTCGACGTCTCCGGGGACAAGAAGCAGAGCGTACAGTCTGGTCGTCCATTCCTTCCCCCTCTTCCCCTCTGGGCGCTGTCTCATGGCGTGACCCACGGGAGCGTTTTTTAATACTGCGGATGTAACTATCAGCGCTCCAGCTCCGCAAGTTCTTGGGACGTGTGTCTGAGTTTTTGGGCTTCCTCTCTGACATTGCTACAGGCCCTTTTTGGAAAAGTGCTGCACAGAATTTAAAAATAAATTAAGATTGGCAAAGAAAAATATGAAGAATACTAATAGTATTAATGCTGCTAGTACAAGGCATACAATATTACAAAATTAATGAATTCAGCATATATTTATGCACAGACTATTCATAACTGACTACAGTACCAAATACAATTTTTATGGTGATTTTTTTAAGGAAATAAACAGGATTCTATTCATGTTTTATTTGAAAGGAACACATTATTTATATGATACTTCAAATAAAAAATATAACTAGTATGCACAAAACTATATACAAGTAACAGACAAAAAACTTTAACCTTTTAAGTATCTTTTATATGAAAGAAATCCAAATGTATCCTACCTTCAGAATGAAATGCTGTAGGAAAATCTGCTGTCCTCACAGAGGAGTGATGAATTTTTCCATGCCTGAAGTTCGTGCAGTGAGAGCTCGGCATGAACTGAAGGGAGGAAGTGCATCCCTCCTATTTAAAAGCTCTCAAGTATCAATTCCTCAGAGGAATACTTGCCCTTCACTGGACGGAAGGGGTACTTTTGTCAATGACAGTTATCATATCTAACGATGAATAC